AAGGGATAAAGAGAGAAAGACAGGAAGGAGGCTGATTTGGCACCAAGGAAGTTTATCACAAACTATCACCAGAGCTGTGTGGATGCTGTGATTCTGTGAGAGGCTCAGATTTCCTTTCTTTGTCAGATGGGGAAGATGATAAAATTGCTGCAGGTCAAATGGTTCTTAAAAGCACAGCTAAAGGGACCAGTTCAAAAGTTTTACAACCCAGTACAGATGACTGTGGTTATTCCTTAAGAACATTGTTTGTATAGCCATCACTAGACTTTGCACACTGAGAGATTATTGTAAGAAGTGTTTACATGCTTATAGGTACAGTTTCATTTACTTTCTAATAAAGTAAGTAGTTGATCCTATGTTGGTAGCAGCGCTTCAGTTTTTATATTATTTATTTATCTGTTACCATCCTAAATTTGTCTTTTTGCAATTAACCTATCTTGAATGTGGACGCAGATCTTTGAACCTTGCTGTCTTGCTCTGACCCCCTGTATGTGCAGCGTGAAGAAGCATGTTCGTTGGTCTGTCCTGAATCTTCTGCCAACCTCCCTCAGGGATGACAACACAAGCATCTCTCTAGCCACTTTACTCAATCCATGCCTCGTTTTACACACACCACATACACACTGACTCCCCCTCCCCACACACTACAATAACCAAAACACCGTAGCCTTCCGAATAGGGTGATTGCTCCCAGTCTTTTTACATTTTGGTTGCCCTGTCTCCCTTCTCACTTGCCAGGTGGCCTGGAGAAAAAGGTGTCTGGTGTCACTTGCAGCACTTAGACTTCCCAGACAGTCTCCTTTCCAGAGACCTGCCTGGATCGCCAGATCAGGCAGGATGGGGTCCACTCAGAGCTGCAGGTGATGGAGAATGGACCTCCTCCTGTCACAAAGGTCAGTGGACCAAGTCACACCCCTTGACCTTTATATTTGCCTGCCTCTAGGGAACTTTGATCTCCTTCTTAAAGCTCCCAAAATCAAAAGGAATTCTGGAACAGGTGTTCTTGGGGGGAAATAATGTGCTTTTACTGTTTGGTATGGATGCAGCCTGGGGACGCGGGTGGCGCTGTGGGTAAAAGCCTCAGCGCCTAGGGCTTGCCGATCGAAAGGTCAGCGGTTCGAATCCCCGCGGCGGGGTGCGCTCCCGTTGCTCGGTCCCAGCGCCTGCCAACCTAGCAGTTCGAAAGCACCTCCGAGTGCAAGTAGATAAATAGGGACCGCTTACTAGCGGGAAGGTAAACGGCGTTTCCGTGTGCTGCTCTGGCTCGCCAGAGCAGCTTCGTCACGCTGGCCACGTGACCCAGAAGTGTCTCCGGACAGCGCTGGCCCCCTGCTTCAAAGGGCGCACAACCCTAGAGTCTGTCAAGACTGGCCCGTACGGGCAGGGGTACCTTTACCTTTACCTTTATGGATGCAGCCTAAGTCCTCCTATCTCCAAAGAAAGGGTGGAGAATCTTTTGCCCTCTAGATGTTGTTGGACTCCAACTCACATTAGCCCCAGCAAACATGTCCAATGGTCAGGAATGATGGGAGTTGTAGTTCAGCAACTTCTGGAGGGCCACATGGCCTCACCCCATGATGTATGGCCCCACAATACCTCCATCTTTCTTTGTTCATCATCCTGTGAGTGGGCAAATCAACACTTACCTTTCCTCTGCATGTTACAGGCACAGCCTGCGCTTTAAAGCACCCTTTTATTTTGCTCCCAAAACGTTGTTCAAAGAGCAGGTTTTCCGGGACAAAAAGAGTGCTCAGACACGAAGCTTTAAAGCATGGATCCAATGCCAGATTTTGGGAGTGACGGTGGTTCCCTTGAACAGGATGCTGAGCTGAGGGGGTAGCCATAATTGGGAAGATCCATTTTGGGACAGCACATTTTGGCCTCGCTCAAGGTGCCACACTACCAAAGATTACCAAAGTCTGTCCCTGGAAAGAGCAGAGCAAAAGGTAAGTGTGAATTAATGGCTTGGGAATTGCCAAAATAACCTTGATGCTTCTTCTTAATGCCCCTGGGGAGTTTCCTGCAGAGGTAGAGCCTGAGGGCTTCTCCCCCCCACTTCCTCTTCTCCTGATGTGCTCAGTCGGAGCAAGCGGGAACTGGGTTTTCTGCTGTCTGTTTTTAGGAGACTGCTTCCTCATGTATTTGAAAATTATAAAGGCACCATGATTAAATAACTACAAGTCCTCTCTCTCCCCCCCTCTCTCCCCTCTCATATCCAAACTGTAGCCTTGTCCCTGGAACACCTCACTGCTCAGAGAAGTGGGCAGTGTGTACTGATATTCTGTGATGCCCTTTGAAAACTGAGATGCTGCAGTGATAATAAGTCCCGCAGCTTGGCTGCCCCCTCTCCTCCGCACAGAATTCACACAAGGCATCAGAGGTCCTGTTCCACACCCTTGCTGTAATTATACACCCCCCCACCCTCCAGAATGGCCTCCTGGACCCACATCCCTCCCACCGCTTCATGTCAGCATCACCACTTACTGCTGCTGCTGCTGCTGTCTTTCTTGGTGATGCTGTTAGAGCCAGTCTGAGTCCAGGGTTGGGGGAGGGGAGAAAACAATTATCCTCTCTCGATCCTAGAATGGACTGCTCCCAACAATGCTTTTCCCTTTGGCAGGCAATAAAAATCCCCTTCCCCAGCCCTGTGTGAAGGCATTGGCTCAAATCCTTCCACTTGCTTCTGTCTAAAAAGCACCCTGGAAGGCATTAGCTACATGTTTTAAATTATAGAGTCCTCTTCTTGTAAAAGGGAATGTTGGACCAAGTGGACTCACACTGGCAAATTCAGGTTGCACAATTCTAGTTGACTGTAAAGACTTCAGATATTTCTTGTGTGCAAATGTATCTTCAGTCTCCGAGTCTGCTCCCTTGTGACAGACACTACCCAAGCTTGTTGTCTCTTAGGGCCTGAGCCCCAGGATACTAGGCAATAACCCAAGCCATATCCCATCCTAGTCTAGCTAATTTCCCTATCGCAGCTGACACAGTAGAGGCTTTCCTGTCTGGGAGCAAGAAAGAGCCAACCTATAGGGCCTGCTGGCACATTCTCCTGCACAAACTCCACTGGAACAAAAGAGGAGCTGAGCTGATCAAGAGCCCTGCTGTAGACTATGGTCTTTGAGAATGCCAGGGCTGGCCCAAGACATTTTGGTATCTGAGGCAAAATGGTATCTTCCTCCCTGCCAGGGAAGAAGGGGTGAGCATACCCTCCAACATTTATTCAATGAAAATAGAGATATCCAATTACATAATGATAATTTTTCTATTTATACTCCAGACATCTTACTGGGTTGCCCCAGCCACTCTAGGCAGCTTCTAACATACATAAAACATAATAAAACATTAAAAAAAACACCTTCCCTTCAGATGGCTCAGGGGTCAGATAACTCCATACCCTCCAACATTTCTCCAATGAAAATAGGGACATCCTAAGGAAAAGTGGGGCATTCCAGGATCAAATCAGAGACTGGGACAGCTTCTCTAAATCAGGGATGTCCTTGGAAAATAGGGACACTTGGAGGGGCTGAGTGGGTGAAGATCTACATCAGGAACAAGGTGGGGTAAATATCTACATTGGGACCTGCTGCCCCTGTGGATCCTGCCACCTGAGGGGGTTGCCTCACCTTGCCTCATGGGTGGACTGGCCCTGGCTAAACCATATCGAAGAGGCAACCTCAGAATTCAGTTTATGAGAAGCTTTAAGTTCTTTCATCCAGCATTACATGCTGAGCAGGCAACGGGAACCAGCCTATCCTAACATATTCACATTCAGAATGCTTATTTTGGTTCCAGGTCCAGATAAGGGCAGAATTCCTATTATGTTTTCAAAACTATGCACACGATATGTATAGCCAGAATGTATCAAACACAGATTTCATATACGGTATATTAACTATAGCAAGGATAATATTTTCAAAATCATGGTAGAAGAATTGGGTTCCAAGAAAGTAATAATTAATTTGATATGGGAACAAGTGGAAATCATAAAGTTAACTGGGATGATATGTCCATCATAACAGTAAGGGAGAAAATGAAGAAATGAAATTTGACACACGCACATGCTGGTCCCACTTACTGAACACGGTGCAATCCCTAGAAACATAGGAGCCAACTCCTAGGGGCTTGAGGGGTCTTCACACACACACCCCGCAAAATATTTGAGGGGGCTGTCCTCCCAAAGTTGATGGGCACTGCCATTCAAATAGTGTGCGCACTGTGTCATGTGATTGATTATGCAGGGCAGGGCTTACCTGCCACCCTCGCCTCCAATATTTTATTCAGCTTGGCACCCCTGCCTGGAAATCATTTGTTAGGCAATTGTTCACATAACAAGTTGACAATTTCCATTGATTCCCATGGGGAAATTTCTAATGCGTTTCTGACTGTGGCATTTTGTCCCTGAAAAGTCTTCCCAACCCAAGAAAACTTAGGGGGGAAATGCTCATTTGTCCAATCCCTCCCTCCATTCCTCAACCAACCAGCAAAAAGCAAATAAGAAAGAAAAATAATGCTCTCTGTTTGGATATCTGAATCTATGGTTACTACCCTGAGGTTTGGGTACTAATTCCTCATGTTTGGATAAGTGAATTTTTGCATAGAAAAGGTTTGTAAAGAGGGACCTGTGTGTATATAAGAAGCAGATGGAACAGATTTGCTTCTAATAAGGAAATGAATACGCATATACACATTTTTAAAGAAAACACTTAAATATTTAAATATTTGATATTGAGATTTTAGTAATTGTACATTTATGGAAGAAAATAGATTTGCATTTAGCAATAATTGTGAAGTCAAAGGTTTTCTATTACGATATCACAGAAATATTGAATGGTTTCTATAATAGGAGGTGTTACATTAAACATCAATAAGAACTTTCTGACAGTTTAACAGTGGATTGGACTCCCTCAGAAGGTGGTGATCTGTACCCAAATCAGTCCAGAACAGACGTTTCCAAGTAGGAAAGACTCTATTCACCTCCACAAAATGATCCACAGCCATTAAAGGTTAGCAATTATCACTAACTTTATTGGACACCTTTACAGAAGTTAATATTGCACATGGTTTAAGAGAGCGTTTAAAAAACAACAACCCAAAGAGATGTTTTTAAAAAGAGAGCAAAGACAGTCTTACAAAGACATTCCCTACATCCAGATAGAGAGCCAAAGGCTTAGAAGTCAAATTCACAAGAAGGCCAGAGGTTCCAGCCTCAAGATTCTGAAGGAAATGGGTACCATTATCCATTAAAACTGTTTTTATTTTATACATAGGTCACTGTGGGAATGCAAGTTATCTGTAAGAGCAACCACCTTCCCGACCTTCCAAGTTTCGTCCCCCTCCTCACTTTAACCAAATGGCTAAGCAAAGCAACAGATCCACCTGCTGACGGTTTAGGAAATGCAATCAAAGGCATTGTGGTGGTGTGAAGTTAATTTTAAGGCACCAGGGAAGAAGCCACAGGGGTTGCCAGGTGCTGTGTACATGGCTGCCAAGTGGCTGTGCATAGGAGAGGCACTGCAGTGCACAGGGAGAGCAAGTGGAACCAAAACTGGAGTTCCTTTAATTAAAGAGAAAATTCCACCATGCAATACTGGACTAAAGGAAGTGAGCATAAACTGGGGTTTTCATCTCCAAAATTATTCTCCTGTAGCCCCAATCAACTGTCATTCTTTGTATACACAGGCATCACTTTTGCTGGGTTGGGTCAAAAACAGATATAAGAAGCCATGCAAAAAAGGTAGCTGTGACATAAGTTCCTTCATTGGTGGGGCATATATATGCACGCGCACACACCCTTTCCCTTCTATTCTGGAGCTGCTGGATCTTGCCTTAAAATCTAGCCTCACTCTTCTAAGAACATTCCTTCTATATATATTTAGAAATACAAACGGCTTCAGACAAGCTTTGTTGCTACACACACCCTTTTCTCCAGGGGGTTTCATGTGTTCTCCCACATTGATTTCCTCCCACCCCCTGCAGAACTTGGATGGGGAAATTCATTTGTTTTATTTGTTACTTCCAGTCGTCCCTAACCAACTTCAGCATCCTCTCCGGGCCTCGGCCACATCCGGGAGCGATTAGTGCTTGGGCCTGAAATCTGTGCTCTGCATCTGGTTTGGGGTTGCTTGGTGTCTGAGAGTTGACTTGAAATGCCAGGGTCTTCAGCTTCCTTCTCTGGGTCTCAGGGACAGCATTCAGAGAGGAAGGTGGGCTGTCCCCCACCCCCTTCCCTCTTGTCCTTCAGGCTTCCCTCCTGAGGCACCAGGGTTGCACAGGCAAGCAGTGTTGTCCTCTGTGGCCCCAGCAAGCACTACTAGACCTCACCTTCACCTTATCACGCTCCACCCACCTCTGTCTACCTGGCACCACCCCCTGAGCCTCAGGGAGCCTGGACACTGTCCTTGGGGTTTGGGTCTTCAAGGCGATCAGCACTGCCAGCTTCTGCATTTTGGAATGGCTCAGGGAAGTTGGCCTTTGAGAGCCCCTCAGGTATCCAGGTAAGCAAAGACAGGGCTGAGAAGGGGTTGGGAACTGAGGGAGCACCTCCCTGCCCCCTTGCCCCAGACCCTAGGGACCCTCCCCATGCCGCAGCGTCTTGGTCTGGCTGCAACGGCTCTTGTTTGCCTGGATGGTGGTTGGAGGATGTGTCTGTAGTCTAGCCTACTGGGCAAAGGAAACATTTACATTCGTTGCTTGGCTGGTTTTTGCCTCTGGCCCTGACTGGCACTGGCATGTGGCCCCCAGAATGGGAAGGCAGGCCCTGGGCTGAAAAGGTTCCCTGCTCCTGCCCTATCCCACCGCAGGGGACTCCAGGGCAGCTGCCCCCTCCATGCAGAGCCTGGCCAGGTTGGAGGCAGCACATGCTGTCACTCACTTGGCTGGGCTTTCCTCATCGCAAAAGGGAGTAAAAATGGGAGCGGTGATGCTCAGCCGCTGGCTCCCAGCATCTGCCCAACCCTACCACAAACGTGGGGCCAGATGTGGCAGCTAGGAGCTAGACTGGAGGAGGAGCTGTGGGTTTGAGCTGAAACAATGCTCTGTGGTCGCATGGGGTTGGGGGGCTGCGTTCACACTCACGTTATCCTTTGAATGTCCGCATAGGGCCAAGAAGGCTGCAAAAGGTTTGTTCCGATCTTAACATTTTTGTACACCCGCCATTTTCAGGTGCCATGTGCACCCAGCAGAATAGCCCTGTTGTAGACATTTTTCTACAATAAAGATCTCAATGGGAGCAGAATAATGGGTGTCTCGGATCACTCTGATTTGGAAGCCAAATTGCTTGGGGCTGCCACTCAGATTTAAAATGGCTACACTACAGCCTGAAACTGATTTTATGGTCATTTCCTTTCCCCAGAATACCCTGGGAAATGTATAGGAGGAGGAAGCAGAGAATTTTCAGTTTTGCTCACCAAACTTCACTTTCCAGGATTGTGTCAGAGGAAACCACCGTGACTAAGCTGGTATAAAATTGGTATACATTTGTAACATTAGCAGTGTTTCCCTCTTCTTTCTTTTTTAATACACAGAGGCTGTTTTTGAATTTTGAGCAAATGCAGTAAAAGATATGCAGAATTCACACAGGCACTCAGTTTTCAGCACTTCCTATAATGTGCAAGGCTGCCCAGATCTAGAGGTTGGAGTCTGGAAAATGGCATCCCCTCTGGAAAGTGGATGGTACAACTGCTTTACAGGGGCGGGGGGGGGGGGATATTCTCACGTAGATATTTGCCAAGAGCACCCACAGCCATTTGGGTAGTCGGCAAAGGACTAAATCTGTGCATGAAATTCAGGCATCATTCCCATGTTACATTATTGTGCACATACAGGCCTACACTTGCATGTTGAGATACATGCACTCTATAATGTAGGAATGGCTGTAGTGGATTGGGAAAGGTTCACCTCAACGTATGGGGTGTGGGGAATGCACTGATATGGCCATTGCCTTGTTTACCAGTACATGTGACCCCATGGATTCATGGACTTGAGCGTAAAAAGCTGTAATTTGTGAATCTGCCTTAAAAGCGTCTGATAGAAAGAAGCACAGGAAACTGCCATATACAGAACCAGACCATTGATCCATCTGTTGTCTGCACCGACTGGCAGTGGCTCTCCAGTATTTCAGACAGGGGACATGCCTAAACCGACATGGAATGCATGGATGCAGAGCATGGGCCCTAAAACCAAGCTGCAGCCCTTCTCCAACGACGGCAACTTCTGGTGGTGGAGAATCCTCTGCATCCCTCACTTCCTGCCCCAGGCCAGGGCAGCAGTAGTGATCCTTCCCAAAGGAACAACCAAGTTTGTCTAGCACAACAAATTCATTGAAAATGCAGCATTATTGTATGGGCTGAAGGTCTGAAGCTGGTCAAATTGTAAGATCTGTACCTCTTTCCCTCCACATGTCAACTCTTCCCTTCCCTTCCCTTCCCATCCCATCCCTTTCTCTTCCTTGGGCATTGGCTGGTATTCTGCCAGGTCTCTTTAATTACCCCGACTGGGTCCTCCCCACTGGCTCCCTCCTCCCCAGAATGGCCTTTGCGTTTCCACATTCCCTTGCTCACCCCCACCCCTACCCCAGTTTTCCCATTGGCTTTCTCTGTCCCTTCATCCCACCCTCCCTCCCCATCACCCTCCTCTAACTTCTTTATTTCTTGTAGTTCCCGAACTGGATAGCCAAGCGATTCGTAGCGCAGCGGAAAGTAGCTGGTTGGACCTCCCAGTAGGGCACAGGGTTGGCAAAGAGGCTGATGCCATGGTACGAAGCCCGCTTTACCCCAAAGCCTACAGGACAGAAGTCGTTGACACCAATGTGAGTGATGTTGTTGGAGTGAAGGTACACAACCTGTGGAAGGAGAAGTGAGACTTGGTTACCCAGAGGTGGAAGATCCGCTGAGTTTGCGTTTGTCAGCTTGTGAGGCAGCTGACACCTGGGAAAGAGCTCTCCTTTGATATGACAACTCAGATCCTGCAAGGCTCCACAGCTGTGTGCTGTGGTTTCATAGGACTGCAGACAATATGCTGAATGAGCTGTTGGCCTACATTTTTTTAGCATCTTGGGAATCTCTACTGTTGATTTTCTTTTCTTTTTAAAGAAGTGAATGTGTTTAACTTCAGGACAGCAAAAGAAACTCCCATTTTATTTACCTAGCCATGACGGTGCTGTGATTTAAATGAGTTTTTAAAATGCAAAACTTCACATGCTCAAATGGTGTTTTTTAAAAATTATAATTATCAGGGTCGGCAAACTGTATTTGTTTGGAAACCTCTTGCCTTCAGGCCTACGTAGACCCACTAGGCCTCCACATTTGCCTGTTTTGACCAAGCCACGCTCACTTGCCTGACACCATATATAACATCAGTTGGGGGGCAGGTAAAGATCCAGTTGGGCCAAAGGGAGCCCCAGAGCAGGCATTGGTGATTGATCTGCAGTCCCTGTAAAGCCTTGTGCTTTGCAAGTCCCAACACTTACCTGATGCGCAGCTGATGCGCAGTGCTGCGCCCTGCATAGCTCTGTACAAGACACTTTGTGCCAACTTTGTGTCTGCACGGGCAGAAATAGTTCTCCTGATGTCATTGTGAGATCAAGTGATTTAAATGATGGGTGGCCTCGCCCACTAATCAAACTTGACCCACAGGAAGTTGGGAAGAAAAGGATCTGGCCAGATCTACTTCACCCCTACTGTTAATATATCAGGAATGTAGAAGTGGTTGCAAAACATGAAATGATGGTTGGGGAGGAGAAAAATGTTAATTGTTTGTTTCACAACTCAAGCAAAACACATGCCAGCCTAAAGAGGGAGCTACAAGATGACCTATCCTGGTTCTCAGTTGCTAGATACCTTCATGAATGTAGGGTCCTACCAGCTGCCCAAACTTGCCTACTCCTGAAACTGGTCCTGCATTTGCTCACCTCTGCCACAAACCACTCCCGACCCCTTTGGTACCTGCAGAAACTTGAGGCCAGGCAGTCCTGGAGGAACTCGTGACAGCTTGTTGTTATCCAAGTGCAGCTCACGTAGGCTGGGCAGGAAAGCCAGACTGCCGTTTTCAATCATGCGGATGTTGTTGTGTCCCAGGCCCAGCCTAGCGGGAGGAAAGGAAGGGGCGGTGACAAAGAAAACAAAGGGAAAACAACAGCGGCTTCCAAATATCACCAAGGTCAAGTGAATCAAAATCTGTCTCTTGGAAAAGGGCAGGAGTTTGATGTAGGCTGGACTCTTGAAGAGTAATGGGGAGACAGGAGGATGTTCAGGGCTACAGCCAAAATTAGGATGGCCAGCTGCCTCCTTTACACAGGGTGGTCCTCTGTTCTGTAGGGTTGCCAGAGGACAGTCCTTTATTTGAAAGGATCCTCTGTTTCGAGGTCTGACCTGAGTCTGTTTAAAAAAATAAGGAACCATAAAAGGGGGGGGGGCTAGGAGTTTCTATCAACAGTTAGCATAGCAGCACCTGGTCAGCAGACCAAGTAGGCGTACAATACACCTCTTGTCATTCCCAGTACGGTGTGATGTACTGTATTTCTGCTTAATAATTATTTCTAGTTTTGCATCTATACCTATAAATTACCATTGGCACATTCTAAGCAAATTGATATCCTTTCTGACCTCCTTTTTTGGTGATGCATAACTGGCTGCCCTAGCCCAAAGCCCTGTGCATCTGTGACTCAGAAGGTGGGACCCAGCAGAGTCTCATTCAAGCCCCAAAGTGTATGGCTGTGCAACATTGGGTCCCTGTGGTTGGCAGAGAGGCAGCATGAAACCTCAAGCTTAGCCAGGCCTTCTTTCCTTGCCTAATCAACTGAACAGTATCTTCCGTTTGGCCAGTAGGGGCCTGGGGTTGGGAAGCCCCCATTGCCAAGTCTGGATTTGGAAGATGGCTGCCTGTCACTCTGCCTCTTTTCTGCTTCCTTAATGCCCTTCCTCCAGTTCTTTCTCTGATTGCTGGAAGCTTCACATTTCACGTGTGCGGACAAGAGGAGAAATGTGTTGCTGATATAAAATGGGGGCTTAAACAATTGCAACTACAGACCATTACAGCTACATGCAGCGTTCAGCCAGTGTCCACCTAACTATAAAATAGCAGAGGATGAGGTAGAGAGGGATCAGGGAAAAGCAAGCCATCTTGTTTATTGAGCATTCATCCTAGTTTGTTTGCATTTGTGGTTTAGGCCAGCAAATTCAAGGCTCAACATTCCAGTCAGAGACAGAGTTTGCCCCTGGCAGCATTCCTTTAAGTGCGGAAGATGGAGATAAAGCTGTCGTGGGACCTCTACAGATCCTCTTGCCTGATCCCTCCCTGTTCCCACACCTGCTGTGGCAGCAGGTCTCCAGGTGTGGTGATCAGGAGGGAAGTGGCTATAACTAGGCCAGGGCAAGAACAGTCTCTCTTCCTGCTCTGGCCTGCGCCCTCTTCCTCCACAGAGTCCTCTGGCAGAGAGTGCCCCATGGGAAAGAGCCTCAGGTGCAAGTCTAGAGGGTCTGGTGGCTTTGGGGTAAACAGGGAGGTTCATGGAGCATCTGTTGTGTGAGAGCCACTTTCAGGATGGTAGTAGAAAAGCAGGATAGAAATGTGCTTAATAAGCAGCCAGCCAACCAAAAGAAGGAAGGTGTATGTATGAGGAGCATTACACTGAAAAGTGGCCTAGGAATCAGGACTAATAAGTATGGCTCTTTCTCCCTCTACTGGCTGAGACTTGAAATGGCAGGACTATTTAGGAGTTGGCGGTTCTGAGGGCAAGTCAATGCTACAAACTCATAACAGCTTCAAACCTGCTTTACAAAAAGCTCCAGCTGCCTCTATTTTCTTCTGTCTGTTCCTTATAAAGAACTGTACCTGCCCTGTTTATATTTTTTTAAAAAAACAGGCAAGGGGTTACACTGGGAAAGAGGCGAACCCTGTCTACTTGCCTGTGAGGTGTGCTCACTCCATCCCGAAGTTTTCTTTCCCCCCTCCCTTCTTGAAGACCTCCTACTCTCTTTTTGAATGCATGAATAGGGCTCCCATTTTTGTTCCTATTCTATCTTTTGGAGGAAATATTAGATATCTGAAAGCTAAATGAGTTGGGAAAGTCATCTATCTGCATGATGTCATGAACAAAATATTTGCCTCAGATGTTTTCCCTCGTTGATTTCTGTCCTCCCTGCATTCCCTGCCACCCACCCACCACATTTTTTACAAAGAAAGCTTTGGAAACTTAACACAATAGTTGTGAAATTTCCGCAGGTGCAGATGGCTTATATTATGCAGCTATTCTGGCTCTTAATGGTCTGTGCATGTTGTTCTAGCCAAGGAGTCATAAACATGGTGCTTGCAGGGACACAGGTGCCCACACCCGGCTCAAAGACCCAGTTTGGCACACACCTCCATGCTCATTTGCGTACATTCACAAACACACACACAGGCTGGGAGCCTCCATGTTGCCCCTCTGGAGGCTTCACCCAGGGCAAAAAACAACAACTGGTTAGCCCCCCTGTAGCTACAGCTCTGGTGGGGTGCATGTGATTTTGCCAGTTTGCAAATGTGCCTGGGTGCTCAAAAACACTGGTGACTCCATTTCCTAGGTTGTTCTAACTTTATTTCTCTAGGGTCTGTTTCTCCTCTCTAGGAATCATTCTATCACCTTTCCCAATAGAGTTGCCTTTATTTTCGCCGCCCTCTCCCCAAAATTCAGCGGGGAAGGAAGCACTCTGGACTGGGAGTCAGTGAAGGGGGAGGGAATATTTAACAACAAGCCCCTCCCATTTACCCTTGCCCCCACCCAACACTTGGGGCTAAGGAAAGGAGGCTATGCTGTGCTAGGAGTCTAGAAGCAGAGTTGCTATTTCACCTAAAGCAGAACAGCAGCGAACAGCTGCTTCCAATTGTCCACCTCTGGAAGAAGCCTCCTTGCCTTTGGCCTTCTGGGCTGCTGCCCTCCCAACCTTTGGCCCACCTTCCCTTGCTGAGTACATTATATGAACAATTAGCTCCCTCTAGTACAAATGGCAAGGGGCAAAATACATTTTGGAAATGTTAAGCTTCCCTATGAATATTTCCCTGTGTTTGTGCTGCATACAGATGCCACAGATCTTTATCCACACCTGCTGCCTCTCACAGTGCAAACTCAGCTCCAAGACAATATATTGTTGTTGGCGTCCACCCATCTTGAGAGACAATGGAGTGCACCTCCAGGGGTAAAGCCAAACTGCTGGATTAGCAGCACCAAAGTGACTTCCCTGGGGGACAAGCCGGGGCAGTGTGTGTGGAGGTCCTGGACTACCCAGATGACAAGGCTACACTCTTGGCCCAAAGGAAAGCAGAGCGATATGTTTGGCACCAGCTTGGCTGCAGGAGTTGCCAGAAGGAGGCATACAAGGTGCCATCCAACCATCTTAGGAATTCCACTCCAGATTTGTGTAGGGTTTGCTCCTTAGCCGTTTCTTCTCCCAAAGAAGGCAGAAGAGGTTCAGGACCAGAGTTTTCCTTCTCCTAGATGGGCGACCTTCTCAGGTGGATGAGCCCCATCTGCCCCACACTTCCCTCTATAGCATGTGCAGAAACTGCCTTCATGACCGTTGGACCCATCATAATAATTTTAGGGATGTTTATCGGTCCAGTATACCTGAAGGAGCGTCTCCACCCCCATCATTCCACCCGGACACTGAGGTCCAGCTCTGAGGGCCTTCTGGTGGTTCCCTCACTGCGAGAAACCAAGTTACAGGGAACCAGGCAGAGGGCCTTCTCAGTAGTGGCACCCGCCTTGTGGAACGCCCTCCCACCAGATGTCAAAGAGAACAACTACCAGACTTTTAGAAGACATCTGAAGGAAGCCCTGTTTAGCGAAGCTTTTAATGTTTGATGCATTACTGTATTTTAATATTTTGTTGGAAGCCGCCCAGAGTGGCTGGGGAAATAATAATAATAATAATAATAATAATAATAATAATAATAATAATAATAATTGAATGGGGTGGGCAATCTTTTTGGCCCCAAGGGCTGCACGTGGCAACAACTTGAGGGATACACACTCGTGTGTGTGCACAAACACACACAAGTACCTCCTTTCCCTCTCCCATGCACAGACAAAAACATACACACAATATGTTTTTGTCTGTGCATCTTCCACCTGCTCTCTGTCACACCTGCAAACTCACACAGCCTTCCAAGTTCCACTCACTCTTCTGGCACATTGGGAACCCATTGTGCCTCCCGAGCTGGTTGGTGCTGGGAACAACTGGGCAGCAGGCATGTCTGTGCCCTCGCCACCTGTTCCTAGTGCCAGTCAGCTGGGGAAGAGGAGTTGTGTGATGGGACTGCGGAGGAGAGCGGAGGAGCAACCTGGTCAGCACACACCTCTGCTATTCCCAGAGCAAATCATCTGGGCAGGACTGGGGAAGCTGAGGGGCAGGATGCCATTGCTGGTTGGTGCTGGCCATTTTGTTTCTTTCCAACCTCCAAACAGCTGTTTAGCAGACTGAGGGGGATGCAGTTGTGGCTGGGAGGAAGGTGCACAAGTCCAGATGTACCCACATCCCTTACTTCCCATGTAAAACAGACTCCATGTAAGCCTCCATGCAGCCGTTTAGCTAACTGAGGACAGAGAATTGCCAGGGTGGGGGCAGAGTGTGAATTGTTCACCTGTGACAGGCTGCAGGGAAGGCTTGTGAGGGCCCCATGTGTCCTGCAGGCATCTTAGAGGTCTTGGCTTGGCAATGGACTGGATGAGAGCCAACAAACTGAAGCTCGATCCAGAGAAGGCCGAGGCCCTGTTAGTGGGTGGTTCCCTAGACCAGAGAGATGGGAGGCTGCCTGCTTTGGATGGGGTTGCATTCCCTCTGATGCAGTGGATACATAGCCTGGGGATCCTCTTGGATCCATTGCTGCTGCTTGAGGTTCAGGTCACCTCCGTGGCACAGAGTGAATGCTGAATAAACTGGTTGGATGCTCAATAAACTGTCTACAGTAAGCCTGCAAGTTACAGTGGTACCTCGGGTTACAGATGCTTCAGGTTACACACTCCGCTAACCCAGAAATAGTACCTCGGGTTAAGAACTTTGCTTCAGGATGAGAACAGAAATTGTGCTCCAGCGGCGCGGTGGCAGCAGGAGGCCCATTAGCTAAAGTGGTGCTTCAGGTTAAGAACAGTTTCAGGCTAAGAACGGACCTCCGGAACGAATTAAGTGCTTAACCCGAGGTAGCACTGTACACACATTTAACTTGTGTGCATTTGGCTTTACATGCATGGAAGAAAATAAAAAAATAAAATAAAATTGGGGTGGAGTTCCAAGAAAAATTACTTTGGCAATCCCACCCACCACTGAACCCAATCTGTTTTGACTATACGTGGTTTTGGCTTTAGGCATGATTCCCAGAAGGCAACTCTTATGTAAGTTGTGGACCTACTGTGCTGTAAACTGTCCTGTGATCCTTGGATAAAGGGTGGTATATAAATTTAACAAATGATAAAATAAATAATAATAAACAAGCCATCTGGAGGAGCCCAGCTCACACTACCTGTAGACTTTGGAGTACCGGATCAGATCCTCTAATTCAATTGCCTGGATCTTGTTGTGGTCCAGATGTAGCTCATTTAGGGTTTCAGGAAGATCTGGTTGTTGAGGCAGAGAGAGATTATTTTTATATATCTATGTATTGTATGGAAAGATTGATAGGATTACATTTCTGTACCACTTGCCTATCCCCACGACCAGTGATTTTTTCTGGGGGGACACAGGGGTATGCATACCCCTAAACATTTTGTGAATCTAAGTTTGGCCTCATAGAGGGGCAATATTTCAATGAGAGCAGGAAAATGAGAGTACCCTTAAACATTTTTTTAGTAAAAAAGCACTGCCCGCATCACAAATCAATGTTTTTTTATGAAATCATGTCCTAAACCCAGGAGCATGCATTGGTCTTATAGAGCAATTGGCTACCAGAAAATTACATTAATAATAGCCAAGTAAAGCTGTGGCTAGGCATTGCTATAAGGAGGTAGCTGTGAGAAAAAAGTCACGCACATTACCTTTAGGTACCCCTGTGAGCTTTGCTTCTGAGATCCTCAAGTAGTTCAGTTTCAGACCATCAAAGGCACCAGGTTCGAAACCGCTGTTCTCCAGGGGATTCCCTCCCATCTCTGTGTGGAGAGAAAACATGTCAGCTAGAACAAGAGCGTCCCATTCTTATCAGACCCACATTTAATGCCAACATTTGGCATCTTTTTAATTGTTTTATGTCCATTTCTCTCTCTAGGGTGGCCAGATGCAAAGGAGTATTGTTAAGCAACCTGTTGGTAAGCTTTATGCTCACATAATTTTCTCTGATATATTTAAATGGAATTCTTGGATTCTTAGTCTTGTATTTTAGTTATAATACAATTTTTATTTAATATGGTTAGTGTACTATTGAATGCAAACACATTATTTTCTATAAACTGCTTTGAACACAAACGCGTCTGTAGAAAATAAACTGATATCGACTTGGTTCGCAGGTAATGCAAAACCCAAAACTGTGGCTTAGTGAGAACTGGTGAATGTGAAGACTCCTAGAGGGAAGATTGTGGCCATGGTGCTCTCCCCTGACCTGCTGGTGCTACGCTGCTTGGGCTAAGCCATGGCTTGATTTACGATAGAATGCATTCTGTTAGCAGAAACAGCTTGCAAAAATGTGTACATTAGTAAAAACAGAATACAAAATGTGTTTATCAAGAGAAATTTGCACTAAAATGCTGACAAATTTTGATGAGGATAAAATAAAATGAAACTGCAAATTGCTGCAGAAACGTGGAGGATTGAATTTAAGATTGGGGAAAGAACAAGAACCTGATGGAGTCAAGTCTTTCCATCCCTAGCAGTAACCAGTGCTTATTCTGACCAGCTCCCAACGTTCCTCAGAAAACTCATGGAATGGGACAGCTGACAAAGCATGTCTAGGGAGGAACGGCCCAGTGGGCACCAGTCCAGTAGAGCACCCTTGTCTCACCAATGCAATTCATGTTGTTGAGCCCATTGAAGACATCCTTGGAGACCTTCTTGATCTTGTTATCATGGATGCGGAGTTCAACCAAGGAGCTGGGCAGGTTAGGAGGGATCTCCACCAGGTTGTTCTTGGAGATGTAGAGTTTCTGCAGCTTGTGCAGCGGGCTAAAGGCCTTTGGGTGGATCTTGGAGATCTTATTGTTCACCAGGACCAAGGCCTGCATCCACAGAAAGAAACTGCGTGAGGAACGAGGTATGTGGGGTGGTGGTGGATGGGCATAGAACAGGGAATGGAATCCATCCTCCAGGTAACTTTGCCAGTGGCCAGGAATGGGGCAGTGAGAAAGGAAGAAACCTTCCACCATTTCAGTGCCAGAAAGGGATGTATTAGGGAAGGGAAACCCAGGCTTGCCTATCAGAGGTTCCAGTCTCAATCCCTTGGATTTCACCTTCAAGAATCTTGGGAAATGGTCCTTGCCCGAGACCTTGGAGAACGGCTACCAGTCAAAATAAACAGTACCCAGGGGACTTGCTCAGTGCAAGGCAGCTATTTATATCCTTAAGAGTGGGTGCTTATGTGGGGAGATCCTGACTTCAGTTCTCACAATGAGGGATAAATGCAGGAGGATTGACAGGGCACTGACCTGTTTGTTGAGCATTCATCCTGATTTATTTGTGGGGAGGTTAGATGATGTTGCATTGAAGCAAGTGTTGCCCCGCACTTTCTAGTGCATTTCCCCATCAGCGCTTATCCACACTGACCTTTCCTCTGCTTTTCCCAGGCACAGATCCACACTTTAAAGCTTTGTGTCCAGGTGCCCTTTTATTTCCTCCAGAGCTTTCCTTGCAAAAACCTACTTCTTTAAAGCTGAATTTAAAACTGGAATTGCTGTTAGCTCTGATTCAGCTTTAAAGAGCAGGTTTTTGTGAGGAAAGCTACAGAGGAAAAGCAAAAACAGGGTGTTTGGACATGGGGCTTTAAAGCGCTAACTACGCTTGGAAAGGTAAGTGTGGCTAAGCCCTGTGTTGACAAGGGTGAAAAATGCAGGTGCACTCCCTAATTCTAGCAGCAGAGGGTAGTGCACAGATAAGGTGAGGAGGACGAGATGGAGATCAATGCTGTCTTTTTAAAAATGTGCTTTAAGGGAGTGCAGCGAGAGTTGCGGCGATCTCTCCACAGGCAGAGCAGAGAGACAGGGGCTCAAAGCCTTTGCACAAGCCTCTTTTACAATAAAGACTGAGGTAATAGGTTGAGGAGAGGAAGCTTTTGCCATACTTACATACAAGTGATGCAGCCCCTTAAAGTCATCTTTGCGTAGTTCAGTAATGTGGTTGTTCTGCAGATCCAGCAATTTTGTATCTCGCGAGATCTCCTTAGGCACTTCCTTGAGACCTGGATGAAGCAGGTGAAGAAGGATGGATAGAGGGGTTAGGAAAAGTTAATAGGGCAGGTTAAATCATTGTGGCAGTTGCTAAGCAGCCCAGAAGGACAGAGCCAGGACTGGCCCAAGATAATTTACTGCCCAAAGGGATACAGAATGGTGCAAATCAAACAGGCATGTCCCAGAATGCTTTGCAGTATTGCAGAGGATTCTGGGAGTGAAACTCTTGCACCGCAGAGATAAATTAATGACCAATTTAAAGGTAAAGGTGAAGGGATCCCTGACAGTTAAGTCCAGCCGCAGACGACTCTGGGGTTGCAGCGCTCATCTCGCTTTACAAGCTGAGGGAGCCAGCGTTTGTCCGCTCTGCAGACAGTTTCTCTGGGTCATGTGGCTAGCATGACTAAGCCGCTTCTGGCGCAACAGAACACTGACACCAGAGCAGTGCACAGAAATGCCATTTACCTTCCCGCCAGAGTGGTACCTATTTATCTACTTGCACTTTTTTTGGTGTGCTTTCAAACTGCTAGGTTGACAGAAGCTGGGACTGAGCAACGGGAGCTCACCCTGTTGCGGGGATTCGAACCACCGACTTTTTGATAAGCAAGCCCTAGGCTCAGTGGTTTAGACCCCAACGCCACCCATGTCCCATAATGACCAATTTAAGGGCCTGCAAAAAGCAAGAGCGATGCCATCTTTGCAGCAAACAGGATTCTAAGGTGTGTTGCCACTGCAGGAGGGGAACCGACTAGTCTGGACACACGTGCTGCCTCTCATCTAGCCAGGCCCTCCCCTTGAAGTAAAAATGCAACGTCCCCTGGCTGCCAGCTCTTCCTACTCAAGACGGCATGATTTTAAAAGCCCAGAATCTGTTGAGCTATCAGAGCCACTAATCCTTTGAGGTATGTGGGGGTCCAGAAGGCTCTGCAGGGTGAGGATGCTGTGCCCACCCATCATGTCCTGCCTGGAAACCCAACAATACCTAGAACCACTTCTGGGTTAAACATGAGTTTGTTAGGCATGGATTGGGAACGCTGCTCTAACTTGTATCCTCCTTCCTGTCACTTCTGCCAACCTAATAGTTCAAAAGCACACCAGTGCAAGTAGATAAATAGGTATGGCTGCAGCGGGAAGGTAAATGGCATTTCCGTGTGCTCTGGCTTCCGTCACGGTGTTCCGTTGCGCCAGAAGCGGTTTAGTCATGCTGGCCGCATGACCCGGAAAGCTGTCTGCAGACAAACGCCAGCTCCCTTGGCCTCGGCCTAAAGTGAGATGAGTGCTGCAACCCCAGAGTCGCATTTGACTGGACTTAACCGTCCAGGGGTCCTTTTCCTTTTACCTTTACCTCCTTCCTGTTAAAACGCACATAGAGAGTTTCACACACACACACACACACACACACCCCTTGGTACTCTCCAGGTTTGCACCAATATGGGTTGCTAGAAATAATTTGGACCAAAACCAAGGGTAGGTCTCTCTCAAGCATATAATACTGTCATATTCTGACACACAAGTTTGAGAAGAACCCTCAAGTCCAAAACCATAATCACTCCTGATAAATGGGGCCATCAATGCACAGCTTCCAAACAATGTCAGCGAATACTCGGTTCCCTTTTTCTTTTCTTTCTTTCTTTCTTTTACGATCAGTTACCTTTATTTTATATGTCTTTTTTATATAAGACCTTGCATTTTACTCTTAGTTGGCCTCCTAATTGCTATTTTGCATAACCACCAACAGAGGGTGATAGAACACCATTCAGACCAGGCATGTATTACAAAATATAGGGTAGCCTAAGAGCAGGGGCAGGCAACCTAAGGCCCGGGGGCCGGATGCGGCCCAATTGCCTTCTCAATCTGGCCCACAGACGGTCCAGGAATCAGTGTGTTTTTACACGAGTAGAATGTGTCTTTTTATTTAAAATGTATCTCTGGGTTATTTGTGGGGCATAGGAATTCGTTCACCCCCCACCAATATAGTCTGGCCCACCACAAGGTCTGAGGGACGGTGGACTGACCCACAGCTGAAAAAGGTTGCTGACCCCTGCCTAAGAGGGTGGAACTGAAGACTGCAAAGGGGGGGGGGGACCTGCGGCCCTTCTGTATGGTGCAGTGGTTAGCATGTTGGAATAAGATCTGGGAGACCAGAGTTAAAACTCAGCCATGGAGCTCACTGGGTGACCTTGGACCAGTCACTGCTTCTCAGCCTAACCTGCCTCTCAGGGTTATTGTGGGGATCAAATGAGGAGCCAGAGAACCATGTATGCCACTTTCGGCTCATTGGAGGAAAAGGAGGGCTAATAAAGGCAAGGAATAAGTAAAATAAAATACACTTTGACCACAACACCCATCATCCCTGACCACGCTAGCCGGGGCCAATGGAAGCTGGAGTCCAACGGGATTTGGAGGCTCCCCTTTCCTTGTGTATAAGAGGCAGTTGGGCCCCGAGTGTGTGACTGAAACTTGGACCATGATAGCAGGCTCCATGCGCTTCAAGTTCCCCAATAATAGTTTTCAAAGTACAGTGGTACCTCTGGATGCGAACGGGATCCGTTCCGGAGCCCCATTCGCATCCTGAATAATAATAATAATAATAATAATATCTTTATTGTCATTGCCCCCTCTCGGGGACAACGAAATTACTGAAGTGAATGCAACCCGCGTCTGCACGTGTGCGGGTTGTGATTCGCCACTTCCGTGCATGCATGTGATGTCATTTTGAGTGTTTGCACATGCGCGAGCAGCGAAACCCGGAAGTAACACGTTCTGTTACTTCCGGGTCGCCATGGAGCGTAACTTGAAAACGCTCTACCTGAAGCATATTTAACCCGAGGTATGACTGTAATGGGCGTGGGTGGCGCTGTGGGTGGCGCAGAGCCTAGGGCTTGCCAATCAGAAGGTCAGCGGTTCGAATCCCTGCGACGGGGTGAGCTCCCGTTGCTCGGTCCCTGCTCCTGCCAACCTAGCAGTTCGAAAGCACAAAAGTGCAAGTAGATAAATAGGTACCGCTCTGGCGGGAAGGTAAAAGGCGTTTCCGTGCGCTACTCTGGTTTTGCCAGCAGCGGCTTAGTCATGACCCGGAAGCTGTATGCCAGCTCCCTCGGCCAATAAAGCGAGATGAGCGCCGCAACCCCAGAGTCGGCCATGACTGGACCTAACGGTCAGGGGTCCCTTTACCCTTTTATGACTGTAATATGTTGAGCCCTTTTGTTAGCTCTGTCTCCCTCACCCAGTGGCACACCACCGACTCCCTGTTTGCAACAGAACTGAGGCCCCCAGAATCCTTGGCCGCTGCTTTGCTCCCATGCTCCTACTCACCCAGGTCAGAGCATTGCACCACCCTGAGGTGGCAGTGGCAGCCAAAGGGGCAGAGGCCCGGATAGAAGGGCACGATGTCCTCAGCCTCGGCCCCTCCCGACGTAGGGAAGATGCCAGACGCCTCTTCCTCTTCTTGGACATTAGGGTCATCCATGGAAAAGTCCCAGAAGCCTCTCTGCACAAACGGCAGGTCACTGCTCACCAGACCCAAGAGGGGCATCAGCAGAAGAAGGTGTTCCATAGTGGGAGCTGCCAGGCAAGCATATGAGAGAGAGAGAGAATGACAGAAGTCAGATTGTGCTGTGAGGGACCGAAGATGTGAGATCCACAAGGCCTTTAGAATCACAGAGCGCCTTAGTGTTCATAATCGGCAGGGCCAGAATTGGCACCTGCTGTTCACTTACCTCATTGCCCACTACAGTTCTGCCCCCCCCTCCTGAAACTCTGGCCCTCAGAGCAGTCGCCTCAGACTGGGCTTTCCCCCTTTTCTGTCTGGCCCAGAGAGTCTTTGTTAATGGCTTTGTTAATGGGTTAATGGCTTGGCCATTCCTGTCATGGTTCTTCTGTCAGGCGGTTCCCAGGACACAGGAAAACTGGCTTAAAATCCAACCCCTACTAGACCCATGAATTTAGGGGTTTGCTTAAATTCTTACCCTTTACTGAATCAAGAAATTTTAGGGGAGCCTTGCCTCCCCAACTTATAATAATATTGTCCATGTAACTGTCCTTAAACTATGTTAACATGTGGAGAGCTGTGCCCTGGCCTGCCTTGTCTCCCTTTGGTCTTTTGTACAGCACTTCCTGCTCTGGTACTGGAGGTGAGAGGGGCAGGGGATGTCTCCACAAGGAACAGACAGTATGGATGTAAAGATGAGAGAGAACAGGCTCATCCAGACTTTCTTTTGTGCTGCGTTTCCAGGCACAGGTCCATGCTTTAAAGTTCTGGGTCCGAGCTGTGGAAAACCTGAATTGCCTAGAAAGCGCAGACCAGAAGGTAGGTGTGGATGAGCCCAGACAAGAGTGTTCAGCTCCACTCCTGTTTACATAGGATGTAAGTCAACCTGCTGCTGTTTTACATGGAAGCAGCACAAATATGGCTTCTGACATCACATCTACGTAAATTTGGCCATTTCCTAACCTACTTTACAAGGTTGTGGTGAAGATAAAAATGTAGAAAGTACCACATATCGACCTGCAAACTGCTTGGAGGAAGGATGGGATGTGTACATGTCTGTGTGTTCATGCGTGTGTGCCTGCCTGTGTTTCCAGGTATTAATGTATTAATGTACTGTGATAGGAATTTTATGGTCTTAGATATATGGCAATGTTCATAACCGCACATACATAGATCAACACAGGAAGACCAACCTGGAACCATTTTGATTCCTAAACTGACCAAATGATTTCTCTGCAAGGTCAAACTGGAAAAGTCTCCCCATTGTCTCTTTCCTCACAAATCCTGTCTTAAGGACACATTTAAGATATGAATAAGGTGTGAGCCTGTGACCTGGCCGGGGAAATAAGTATTTTACCAATACAAAAGAATGGCCAGGCTCCCCGGGAAATCCAATCAAGTAACTTGCCAGACAGGAGATAAACTGTGACAGGAGAAAAACATTTAAATATCTGTGATGCATGTGTATGTTTCTGGGGGTGGTCTTGATCTAGAGGAGGGGAATTTCAAAACTCTTTATAAGCCCTTGCACAGCATTTTTCTGGGTCCTCCTCCTTTCCTGCGAGTGAGGGGAGCACCATGTTGCAACAGATCAATAAAGATCAAGCTTACTAGCTGCTTTGCTTCTCAATATTCTCTGCTTGGCCTCTGTTATTCTCTCCTACCAATAGGGAACCTATGTAAGGACTCTATATGGGCTCTTGTGTCCCCCATAAGGGAATAAGGGCATATTTTATTTACAACAGTACTTCAAAGTGAGGCCTCAATACTGTAAACTTGTTACTGGAACATTGCAAATGGATCATTGGCAGCAGTTTGCTTCTCAGATCTGCTCCAAAAAGGGTAAATTTGGATCAAATAGAGTGAGAAGAAATGCAGGCTTGCATTTTGGTGACAATGACGTTGTGTAAATGCTGCAACAAACTGCATGCATGAAAAGCGCCACAATAAAAGCACCCTGTTTCTATTTTTGTGGCCCTCTTGTTGCACACCCACCCTGCACATGGTAGGAGATTATGCTCTAGGCAAGACTAGGCTGTATGGTAAATAACCGTGCTTGCTAATGAATATATAACGATATAAATCCAGTAAGTAAATGGTTGAGGGAGACATGAATTGAATGAGGTACTTCCTAGTGACTTGACTATGTCAGGAATTGAAAAACAGGGTGGGGGTGTGCCTGAACCATGAGGGATTGATGAGGGAGCTATGAGTAAGTATCCACAGGAAGGAAGTGTGTATGTAAGAGTGTGGCCAGTTGCAACACAACTGACTGTGCACAAAGATCTCTTGAATCTGCGCGCAGGGGATCCTGGCCTGTGGTCCTGGCCCACCAGGACTGTGTGTGTGTGTGTGTGTCAGACCCTGTAGTTTGCAGCTGCATTTGGTTACCCTCTATTCAGTCTGCGACTTGGAACAGGGCAGCACGCAGCTGTAACATTGCTCCTCTGAGGATGCCAACTGGTTTCTGCCAAGACTCATTTGAAAACATTAGTAGAGAGGGTTTGCCTTTTTCTGACTGCACAGGAAACATTACTGGGACCTGGGGGCGATGAGGGGGAGCCTATTGGGAAGGCTAAATGCCAGCTGCGGAGGTATAAGTGTGTGTGTGTGTGGTTTCAATGCATAGCCCACCATACGCTAAACAAAGGAAGGTAATAAGGTTAGGGTCACTGCCACGCACAGCCCACTCCTACAATTCTCAAGCCAATATCTCTTATGGAAAACAATGCATTTGAGGGAGTACCTTTCCCTCAGGCTTCCTTTGTATTTGGGACACTATCTCGATCTCTAACCCAGCCCTCGCTAACCCCTCCAGATGTTGTTGAACTGCAACTCCCAACAGCCTCAACTAGCACAGCCACGCTGCCTGCAGCTGATGGGAACTGTAGCTCAACAACACCTGCAGAGCACCAAGTTGGTGAAGGACGTTCTACACTGAGATTCTTCCATAGCGCCAGTTGTTTCTCTGTGCTTTTGGAGATCCCTTGCTGCAAGTCTTCCACTCCCCACCTCTGGTTTGTGGTCATAGAAAAAGGCAATGTCTTCTGCGAAGAGGTTGCTCCCCCCCCCCTTGTATTTCTGTGTTGTACTTTTATGTTGTGAACCGCCCTGAGACCTGCAGATGAGGGGTGGTATACAAATAATAATAATGTGACCGAAATAAGGCAGTTTGTTGCCACGTGGTTTACTACTGGGCTACCTTTTTGTTCTTCTCTAAGACTCTTGTGTCATCAGGGGTTTGGCCTTAGCAGAACAATATTTGCAGTTCGCTTCTCCCAGCTCCAAGCAACCTTTAAACAGATTTTTCCTCTCTGTGGTGGCTACTATACTGTGGTGACCTAATCTCACATCTGGTCTATGACATCTGTATCATCTGCCTTGGTGGCCTTCCCTCTGCAGTCAGCTCAGGAAGCTAAACTAATATTTCTTATTCTTCAGCTGTCGTCATGTTATGTCTTTCCTTGAATCCTTACGCTTGCTGACAGTCAACGTCAGGAGTCCAGTCCTCAGGGTGACGGTGCCAAATGTGGGTTGCACACAGGGCTTTTTTCCCAGCTGGAACTGAACTCTGGCACCTCTCAGGTGGGTGCCGTTGCCTTTATAAGAAAACAAGGGAGGCACCTCTTTTTCTAGAAAAATAGCACTGGTTGCACCACATCCCTTGCTTTGCCCCCTCCTCTCTTTATTTTTAGAGCATTTCTACAGAGATTTTCACTTTGATTCTGCTTACCTTCAGATATGTTATACACCTTTGCAGTGATAAACTCTAGAATGAGAGAAGGGAAGATACTGAATGAAGGGGAAATTGTTGTACTTTAAAGCTCAGTAACATGTGTGTTTCAAATCTTAATAAACATGTAAGAGAAAAATATTCTAGTCCTCACATTTACTTTTTTAAAAAATCCCTCTCTCTGTCCCTGAGAATAGTTGTCTCCGGTGCTTTCTTCTCTAGAAAAACTCACCATTAAGTTTAGTTACAGAAAGTGTCATGCTTTTTAACAACAAAAAAGAGGTGCTGGTACTGTGTACCCCTGAGTACCCCCTGAAAAAGAAGCAGCAGCAGCACTGCTTGTCTCCATGCTGAAGCCCTTTGGCACTACTGAGACATTGCTTCTCTTTAATCAGAGGGAAATGAAATTAGGACAGCGGCTGCTTCCAGACAACCTGCTTATTGGGTGTTCATCCTGATTTGTTTACACAGAGTTTGTGAAGAGGTAAGATGACACTGGTGCTTGTTGAGCATCCATTCCTATATATTTCCCCATCATTTTCCATACTGCAAGAAGTCTGTTTTTTGTTTCGGAGGAGGAAGCATTTTTTGTGCATGCAAGAATTCTGAATCAACTTTAATTGGTTTGTATTGTGTTCTTAAATTTTGTGTGGTTGCATGTCTGTTCAGAGTGCCTTTTGGCAAGCAGACAAAGTATAAATGGCTGAAATCACCCACCCCTTCGTTTGCCATTCAGCTCTCCCCTCACTGTTGTCAATTATTGAAAATTGTTCTTTATCCAAGGCATGTAGGCTGCAAAAGCCCTCTGGGTGGGGAGGGAGGTGACCTCTCTGTTCCAGGCAGCACCTAATGTACCCATGGCTGGTAATCATTTTGAGCACTGGGATTTGGAGAGCTTTATATGTTAAGTATGGGGGGCCCACCCAAGACATTTTGCTGGCTGAGGCATAAAAAACCTGAAATGGCAGCACATACCCTTTCTTCTATTTAATAGGGGACTTGGTCCACTAGGAAAGTCCCCTGCACAACTCTGTCAATGATTGGGAGCAGCACAAGAGCTTTCCTGTTTAATTCCAGTGAGGTTTTGCTGAGATAATAGAATCACAGAATTGCAGAGTTGGCAGGGACCACAAGGGTCATCTAGTCCAGCCCCCTGCAATTCAGGAAACATTTGCCAAACATGGGGCTCAAACCCACAACTCTGAGATTAAGAGTCTCATGATCTACTGACTAAGCTACCCCAGCCACTGAATAGTGTGCCCCATGGGACAGACTTGCACTGTCTCCCACTCTTAATTCCACCTGGTTGCATTAAATAGAATATCTTTTCCACTGGCTCAG